AAAAAAAAAAAAAAATCAAGAACACCTCCAAAAGTCATTTCTCTACCACTGTAGAAATGAAATGAATGAGAGAAAATCATTACTTTATTACACTGTGAGGAAATTGCAGTTTTCATGCAACACAGTATTATGCTTCAAATCAATCATTTTAATTATAGCTCTGATTCTAAATCCCAGGACTCTGAAATCTATAAGCACCATCTCCACCAACAATAAATATGATGATTGTTTGGGCAGGCAGCCTTCAGCAAGCATGACAATTTGGTTATAAGTAATAACAAGAAGGGATCAAGCAGCCCAAACCAATTCTCACTTGTATGTTTTTCGCACAAATGGTAGGAAGTCCTAAGTACAGCTAGCTGCAAACTGAATAAATCCAGCCACCTCCTGGTGGCAACCAGGAAAGAACTGCAGGCTTTGAAAGGAAGAAACCGTAAGATCCCAATGTCACATACAAAACTGAGGACCAAACTACTTCTCAGTATCATGGAATCAACAAAAATCAACAAACACCATTTGGGGCCTTTTCCTGAAATGTGGAAAGTGAAAATGGAAAGTTTTCCTGTAAGGGTGATCAGAAATTTTAAGACAGGGTCATAAGAGGCTTGCATGAGCTTCCTTATATGGGGGAGGGCAATATGGTTCTAGGAGCAGCTCGCGGTCATAACAGCAGCAGGGAACCACCGTGCAGACAGCCAGTGTTCCTTGGTAAAGCCTGAGCCTGTTTCTTTTCTGCTGCCTTCCACACATTCACACTTCCATGGCAAGAGAACTCATCTCACATTTTAGGTATTTTCCTGCTCTCTAATCTCTGGAGATCTCTGGGACAGAAGCTTCTCGTTCCCGACCCTCCTAACAACCAGTAACACTGGACCTCTTAGCTTAGCAATGTGAGTTAGCATCTCCAGTGCAATTAGACAAATCCCCCAAAAGCTCATTCTGTAGGTCTGATGGACTCGGGATTCAAAATCTTAGAATCGCACACACACACATACACCAAACTTTACTAACAAGAAAGATCCTTTAAATATTTATAAGGCAATACAGAAAGTTCATAAACGCTACAATCTATAACTAAATCTTAATTCAGAATACTTAGTGCTGAAGGTGTTCCTACAGGTACATCCTACATTTCCACAGTGTCTTTTCTAGGAGCCTCTGTTGGTTGACATTATTTGTCAACCAATAGTACACCAGCTATCTAAATACTAACTTATTTTGGCTAAGTGATTTAAAGCATCTTACATGTCAGCAGTTTTAAGTTGTGTTAGCATCTATAATACAAAGACATTGTAGAAGTCATTGTCTTTATCCAACCTCAGTTGAATTAACTGCATGACAGAAAATTAAAGTTATAATAAAAGCTTAACATTAAATTACTAGGAAGGGCACAGAGCAAACTATTAAAAATATCTGGATAATGACAGTAATGACTCCCAGTATATACTTGCATGTAGAAAGAAATTCTATGATTTAAAAAACTGCTGCTGGACAGCATTTTCAGTGGTCAGCCAGATAACGTTCCCAATGGTCAGTAAAAGGGAGTATGTCAGGGGGCCGGGGAGATGGCTCAGTGGAATAAGTGCTTCCCTGGCAAGCACAAGGGTCTGAGTTCAATCCCCAGTTCCGCAAAAAAAAAAAAAAAAAAAAAAAAAAGAGGGAATATGTTGGACTCTAATGAGAGGCCCTCTCAGTTCACATCCGGCTCTCCAGCTCTGATGGGCTGGGACGCGCAGACACTGACTTTCTGTACTTCCCCTTTGAGAAAGAAATGTGCACAGTTGCTCGTCTCTGCTTTTTTCTTTGTCCTTACTAATTTTTTAAGAAGTATGTACTAAGCACCTACTTAGTTCTAGGCACAGCAGGAAATCAGACACTGATATCCCTGCCTTCATGGGGCTTACAGTCCAATCACACTGAGAGGCCTGGGAAGTATGAGTTACAAAAGAAAAAGAAGCCAGGAAAGGGTGCTAAGTGGTATGGATTGGTATGGAGCCAAGGCTGAAGAAGAGGTAAGGGAGGTGAGGGCCGAGCAGGGCTGCGGTGAACCAGGAGGGGCAGACACCTTGGTATGGAGCTCAAGGGACAGCAAAGAGCTCAGAGTGACTCAGGCAGGTCAGGCAGCAGCGAGGGCCACGCTGTCTGGGCCTGTAGGCTGCCAGAAAGCTCCTGACATTGCGCAGCATTCATCTATGCCTTCCTGAGGCATCTTTACGCCCACAGGGAAAGTCTGATGGTGCCAGATGTAATCTGGGCTCAGGTGCATCAGAGGCAGTTGACACAGAAACACAAAGAAGTGAAGTGATGCTCGCCTGAGGCTGCAAGTTTGAACCCAGCCTGGGCAAATTATTGAGATGCTGCATCAAAATCAGACATTTAAAAAAAAAAAAAAAAGTTGGGTATGGAAAGGCTCTGAGTTCAATTGCTAGTATGGAAAAGAACGAAAAACAAGAAATGACTAAAATCATCTGTTACAAGCCCTGGAGATCTGGTCGAGGGCTGGATTTCCATTCATTAATTCAACAACTGTGTGCAGTGGGTGCTACAAGGGCCACAAGAGGCCTTTCTTGCCTTAGGGAAGTTACAGCCTCCCAGGAAGGGTGACAGTCCAGAGCAGTGGCCCACAGCTGTTTGTTAGCACTGAAACCTCTGAAAGGTGCACCAGCGCAGTTCTAGAGTCTAGTCTGTGATGAGCCTGGAGGATGTTTATGGGAAGATGAGCTAAGGGCTGAAATGATCAGAGAAACAGCCACGAAGAAATTCTGCGAAGTCTAAGCCGTGGCTAAGGTTGGAAGGGGAAAAAATGGAAACGAGAAAGATGTGCGTTCAAAGAGAAGCAATGAAGAATAGACTTTTCATGCTGGTTTGGAAGAAGATGTGTGGACAGGCATCTGGGAAAGGTGGGCTGGGAAAGACGCTGGCTTGTACGGCTGCACTGAGTTCTGCACTGAGTTCTGCACTATTGGCAGAGGCATTTCGGTGACTGTTTAGGCAGGGAAACATTACAGGACGGAGGTAATACACCCCTGGCATTAGGCAATGTGGAGCGTACCCTGCCTTGACTATAATAACTTGGATAGAGAAAACACTGAGGGTCACCACTGAGTGCTTAGAGTATCTGCAGAAACAGAGAGATTATGACCACGCCCTGGTGACACAGCCTGGAACTCACAGGAAGCGATACTGCTTATCCAGAATGGCTTCACAGACGCTTGCCAGGGTGTGACGAATCTGGTAAACGGCAACAGAGGATCCTACTTGGATATTTTAAGTTTGAGCAACCATGAAGCTGCTGTTGGAAATGTAGCAGGCAGGAAAGTTTGATGCAAGGTGAACAGGAGACATAAAGATTCCTCATCGGTAAGTGGGCAAACAATCTTGATAGTCTTCTATCCCAAACAGAACGCCATGATAGCATTAAGTTGGGACATTCCTAAGCGTGACCTGGGAGCTACTGAGTTACAGCGCTGAGCAAAAGACTAAGGCTGCCTGGCGGCCAGGAAGGACAGACCCATTCCTCAGCTCTGGATCTTACTCTCCAAGTTGCCTCTTTTTTTTTTTTTTTTTTTTTCAAGCTCTTGGTTTTTCAAAAGGAGTGAAGGATTCAATTAGTGTCACTTTATTGTAATTTTTAGACTAGGTGGATCAAGTCCAGGCAAAAGATCTAGCTTTAGACAGCTCTAAAATAAGGAGAATGCTTCTTTGAAAAATGGCTGATCCAGTTCTGGATAAAGAATAGCCAATGTTTTTGGCCAGCAAAATCTTGTCAGACAACATCGAAGCAAATCAAGCTGCCAGGGTGCAAAACAAAACAAAGGACTAAAATACATCAAAATCAAAAGCATCTCAAAACCACTGACACATTAAAAGCCTGTGAGCTCAAAGTATTTAAGACATGGACTGAACAATTCACATGAAAACTACATTCAGCAATGACTAGCAAATGGGTGTTTCAAATGCAGGGATCTCAGGCAATGGAAATGCAAAGATCCTAGAAGTTTGGTAGAAAAATCCTCTTTCTCCCAATCATTTTTTACAAACCTTAATGACCAAAGAGGTTGTTAACAATGCCATCCATTTCTGCTTAGTGGTAAAACTGTTACCATAGACTAGGAACACAGCAAAATGGATCCTCATAAATACTAAAATGAATGGTGCAGTGGGCTCCTCTTCCCCCCTCCCTCCCCTACCCAGTTCTGAATGTCAACCTTCCACTTTGATAAGCAAATCAGAAATAGAACAGGTGCCTCTGTTGGTGCTGTGGGTAAATTCTGGCAGTAGCAGCAACACCAGCTGTGTGCTAATTAGTCTTATGATGGTCTCTGTCACCAAAAATGACAAGCCTGAAAATGCTCTATGAAGAGTCTGGAGGAATGTTTCTGTGTGTTGGAGGACAGGTGCCCTGCACTCACCAGGCCTTCTCCCGACAGCCTCTGTACTGAGCGTTGCAGATACCAAGTCAGAACTGGCCACACACTGTATGACTGCGTTGGTTCAGGGAGAAAGGGTGGAAGATACTTTAGGGATGTGGAGTAAAGCTCTCTGGTCCAACAAGATAAATAGATGTAGACAGATGTTCAGCATCCGGTCATATCTGAGCACCATCTTCAGATTAAGTGCTGGTTAGAGCTGGCCTGTGACATTTGAACCCTGCTCTCTAATACACACCAATAGTGTTCATTCAGCCCTTCAGTTAAATTTATTCAACAAAAATAAAGGAATTGGTGCCCTGCTTCCAGTCGTAATGGTGGAATTTGACCACTACATGATCAGTTTAGACAGGAACAGAAGCGGCCTGAGAAATCTCAAAATATGAGATTGAGTATGTCCTGCCTAAGGAACAAGTGAAGGCTTTCCCTCTGAACATGACTTTATTTAATGTCCAAAATAGATTCAACAATCAAAAATACCAGACGTAAAATAAAGCACTCAAGTATGCATTCTTTCAACAAGTACAATGGATGGATGAATTTTTGTTAAGAAAAATAATCAGAACCTACCTGAAGACTGCGAGGGTCAGAGACCAGAGCACTAATGGCTTCCTCAATTCAAACTTCGCCCGTTTGTTCATTAGGTGCCGACCGCCAAATATAAAGGCAGCATACAGAGCGGAAAACAGGAAAGATTTCTTCCTATGAACAGACAAATAAACAGCTAAGTAACAGCCCTAGAGCAGCTTATTTTTATTCAACAGAAAACACTGAATTTATATCATCTCTCTTCACTGTAAGCAGTAAAAAGCAGCTTCTGGGGAACGCAACCCCGTCACAGAACAACTTTGGTCCTCGTGGCGACATGGTGGAGGTCCCTGGACCTAGGGTTAGGGTGAGGATTAGCCAGCAGACTGGTAACAGGAAGCCAAAGGTCAGCAGAGGTAGACTCTCTCACTAAAATCTTCAACAATGTAGCACTGAAGTAAAGGAAGTCACCCTTTCAATTAATTTTATTCTTCAGCATTTGTTGAATTAGTTTGCATAGATAAATTTAAAAAGAATTGTTTTTATCAGAAATATCTGATAGTAAGTTTATGTACTGGGACAAGAAAAGCATTCAAAATTACAACTCCCTAGTAGGATAATGGTACTAAACAATAAACCTGGAATAAAACTGATGATTAAAATACAAGTTATAGGATTTATGACTCCCAACACGAATTCTTGAAATTCCCTTCTCCAAAATGGACAAATAGTCAATATTAACCTTAAAAAAAGTAGTCATTGTTAGCTACACAACAGGAAGAGCACAGAATTATCTGTAGTCCACCTGCCTGGAAACTTAAACTTGAATTTAACCAAATCTCTAATCTGCCTGTTCATAAAAATCATATAAGGGATAAGGTAAACTGTGGCCCACTTGGCAGGACCATGGAATTTATGGCAAGCTAACAAAGCAGAGAAAAATGTGAGGCTATTTTAGATTGAAACCAATTTCAAGCCAGAAGTGGCAGTGCGCATGTGTAACCCTAGCACTCTGGGAGGCTGAGGCAGGAGGGTCACAACATTAAGCCCAGCTGGAGCCACTGAGTAAGACCATGTCTTAAAATATGAAAGGCCAGGGATGGAGCTCAGTGCTACGGCCTTGGGTTCAAATTGCTATTTGCCCAAAACAAGTAACTGACACATACTGAAGTTTTCATGAGTAAAATTACATCCTAAATTTGCTTTGAAATATCCTCCAAAACAAAACTACAAAAGTATTATAGGTGGAAAGATGAAGCAAGATTGAAAAGAGATGATGAAATGCAGGCTAATTATTCTGTCTTGTACATACATGTACACACTTAAAAATATCCTACCAGGCACGGTGACACACATCTGTAATACCAGCAGCCCCCAGGAGGTTGAGTCAGGAGGATCACTGGGAGTTCAAGGCCCCACTAAGACGTATAGCGAGTTCAAGGCCAGCCTGACTACATAGTGAGACCCTGTCTCAAAACCAAAAAGTCTATAGCATTTTATTTTTAAGGATGATTCACTGCAGAAGATAACATCTTTATGAGTGGTGATTCAAAACATTTACCAGGACAACATCTCAAGATGTCCACAGACAGGATCGCCATGTCCCGACTTACTGACCCAGATGTTAGGCCTTGACGGAACTAGTAATTCAAAAATATACAAGCCAGATAAGTGGATTCTTCAGGTCCCTATGAGCCTGCTGATTTATCAGTATCACATAAAAATGAGCAATGGTACTGATAATGCAAAAGAAAAAAATAGAACAAATTTCTATAGAAATACTGGTCAGTGGCAACAGAGGCCTCGTAAACAATTTAAACATCTGTACATACTTCCTGAGACAGTAACGCTTTGCTTAAAAATGGGTATTCCCTACTCAGGTAGATCAATAGAGAATGGGTTGCAAAGCAAGTCACAAGACGTAATACCAAAGGCAAAATTTGTTCACCTAAAGAGTATTATTTGTCAAGTGCTGCATATTTTATTGCTCTAGCTACCGGCATGTGCTGCTGAGTCACAGGGGACCTTATTATCTCTACAAGCAACAGTTCTATTTAAACAAATGAAAGCAACCTACTTACACGCCACCTAGGAAAGGGACTATTCTGGGACTCAACTGATAAACCGAAGTTGAACGCATCACCTCTGCCGAGGCTGGCAAACCCTTCTCTCCAATACACATGGCCTGGCTCACAGGAAGATTTGAACAAATATCTGTAGAACAAACATGGACGTCTGCTATCAAGTTATCTAATGGGGAAAAATTAAGCATCTGTGACTATAGATGCCCAACCAACGGAGAGAATGAACAGTTAGTGACACTGAAGGCAAGCGGGACTTCCCGGTAGTATTAATAATGACTAAATATTCAGAGAAACTATTTCTACACCTTAGAGAAACATGGAAAAGTGAGATAATTTTTATGGAACTTGATCAAGCATTTCAGGAAGAAACTACTTTCAGCTATAAATATATTTATATATTTACTTTTATTTCTCTTCTATAATTTACAAGGGCATGGCATTAAATTACTAATCTCTATACTCACGTAGTATAATATACAAAACATATATTACATGTACGTACATAGAAAGCTCATTATAAGCAAGGACTCCCTAAAGCAACTTACTAAGTTAATATAGGCAACAGTAATAGGAAGTAGCATGTAATTTTTCTGCTCAACTGTAAAAGTAGAAAGTGATTATAATCACAGGATTCTGCTTACTGAGCCATCTACAGGTAAACATCATGCTAAAAGAATTTATTGTTTAATCCTCCTAATACCTCACCATGCAGGTGAGATATTATCTTTCATTCTGAGATGAAGGACTGGGCTTAGCGGCTGCAGAGCCCCAGACGATCCAGTTTTCCTGGGTGTTGCATTAAGAGCGTGCAGAGTCCTAGGGGCTGTGTGGGGCACAATCGCTGGGAGCTGAGTGGAACTTTGCTCCACTGTGAAGAGAGGCAAGTCCTCTACCTTCCTGCTCCAACTGGCACATTTTCCAGTCCTGGGACACTGGGATGCAAGCTCTTCATCTCTCTGGGAACACTGAAAATATGTCCTCATTAGTTTTCTTATGCATCCAATATAATTCAAATTTGGGTTATACTTGCTTGACTTGTATTATTGACAATTCTGCACCCAGGAAGTGGAACAAACATTATCTCACAGTGCCGTCATCGTAACACACCAAAACAAACCCTTTTCCACTGAACTAGTCACAACACACTGCTAACTTTCCCCTAAGGAGAGTCCTCTTTTCTACATGTTTTCAAAGCTCTCTTTAACAAATAATTCCACAAAAGGACAACAAAGATAAATGATGGCACGGAATTTGAGAGCTACAAAGGACCTCAAGAGCAGAGCCTAAATTCCCAGTTTTCTAGGAGGGAATAAGGAATGTAGGACGTTAGTTGTTTGTGGTTCCACTGTTGCAAATGGACACTGATGATGCCCCTGAAGTCGTTGTGGCTGGGACCGAGCAAGTGGGTAAACTTACTCACGATAGAGCCTATATCTTGGTCTCAGTGAGCCAGCAATGATACTTACTAAAGTTGCTCTTGTATGGGCTTGGCAGTTAGCTCAGTTATTTAAGCACCTACATGGGCAAACCCAGTCAGGCTTATGGGACTGTGGTTTGATCCCCAGCTCCATAGGTCACACAAAACCTACACTTAAGGCAACCTGAGCCAGCCCAAAACAATCCTTCTAAAATTGCTCTTGTATAATATGTAAATCTTCCACATGGTAAAATCCAAATTATGCTCTGGATTAGCTTAGAATTAAGGTGAAGCTTTCTCTCTAAGAGAGGTCACCTAAGAAAGCATTAACTCTTACCTCCTCAGCTGAATAATTACAAATGTATCAGGGCTGGGCTATGGCAGTGGCAGAGAGCAGGTGTGTATGGCCTGGGTTGGATCCCTAATACCACAAAAACAAGTAAAATGTATCATCTATGATCCAAATGTATCTTTATTTTTCCATTTTGCTTACATGATATGATTTTCTTCAGCCTACTAGACAATTTAAGTGGATTAGAACAGTCTTTCCTTCTGATAAAGGTTCAATTATAGTCAAGATGAATAATGACTAGCACTAACTGACTTTAGGATTTAATGTGGATAGATTATTTCCCTAATGCTTCCATGTTAATCCAATAATACTTCTTTTTCTGGCTGGCATCCAGGCCTGGGAATGATGGTGATACTACACTGCTTTATTACCAGATGATTAGTAATTTCTATTTGGCAAAGACTCGTCTTGCTTAATAAATCTTAAATGTACAATACATAGCACAACCCTTAACTACATATGTACTTAATGAGTACTTATGCGGACGGTGATTCCGGAGTTGATTACTAGGTAACCAACCAAATAAAGAGAACACAAATGAAATGCTAATGTTTTGAGTTTGTTGTGCCTGTATTTAACTTTTCTCTGATTTTTGACATCAACAATGAAAAAGGGTGAATCTGTAAATTAGTCTATGAATGAATTAATGGCTTTACCCACAGAGATCTGATTTATCTATTATACTGCTTGGTTCTGAAACATTCCTGCGAGATGCTTCTTTAAAAAAGTCTACAAGAATAACTGAACTAGTCACTGTTCACAGTCTGTACTTTCTATTCTACCAGATATACTCCTGAAAGACTGTATAAACTCAAATGTTTTTCTCCCTACTCATGGGAGTCCCCAGAAGCCAGGCCTTATATCAAGATCTTGACAGGCACCCTGTACTTCAAGATCTCTTTTTTCAAGAGTCAAGTACGTTTATCTGCTAATGAAGAATCCTGTCTGTGGGTAGCGTTTCAACACAGGATAACTGATGGTGGAAATCTGCCAAGACACTGTGCTCCCTGCCGTCCCGACTCTCCCTTGCCTAACTGGCCTTGCTTACCATCCACTTTCATGGAGTTGTGAGGTTCCCAAGCAGCCAGGGAGAAAAGAAAAGGAGAAAGGCTACACATCCTGAGTGGCAGAGGCTGCACCAGGACCGGATGCTAGCTGGGGGGGTAGCCTCTTTTAAGATGCTGCTGCCCCTTGCCATTGTGAATCAGGAAAAAGCTAATGGTCAGGGGCCAGAGACTGAAAGAAGCTACACACAGATTCTTGCCAATATGATATTCAATGGACACCTCTGGTGGTTCTAATTTGATAAGCATGTAAAAGC